CATCAGTGTTCTAATGTCTTTTCCATGCACATATTTGTTCTATTTTCCCAAACAACTCTCAGTCCCCAAAGAAACTTATTATCTAGAAGAAATAATTTGAGAATATAAAATCCAGGATTAGGTTAGTGGGTAAATTATTTCATTTAACATGGTAGAAGCCAAGCAGTAACCACTTTACATTCATACCTTATAACATGTTCCAAGCACAACGCATGTATGATGGGTGTTTGTTATGGCAAAACCCCACATCCGGAATCATGTCAGATTTCAGAAAAGATTTCTATTCACTTAATTAATTTTGAGATAAACAGATGCATACTCATGTATTTACTATAAATTTGTTACTTATTGCACTTTCTGTGCAAACCTGAAATACATGACTTATTAACCTTTAACAGATATGTAGCTAGGTCATTCTCTGCAAGTGAGCAAAATTCCTGAAGGATAGTTGAAAGATAATTGAACACAGAGCATTTAGCATTTTATGGAGTCTTATAGTTGTCATTTTGTAATTTTGCTTTAAGAAAATATCAGAGTCTTCAAATGACTACTAACGAAATTTTTTGTTTTCTTTTCAGTATCTGAATATGTAAGCTTTTGGGGGAACCTTGGGGCTTATTGGTCTGTAATAACTGATGATCATTCAGTGAAAAAAATTCCAAAAATTTCTACTTTTTCCCAAATGGCTTAATATGAACTAATATTTCAAGATCATTCCTTTTCAAAACAGGAACTTAATTTTGCATAATGCAGCAAAGAGTGAAATACTTGGAAACTGTTTAATTTAAATGGCTTTGCAGGCTATCAGCAATGATATCCAAAGGAGAGCTTCCCAGGCCAGGATGACTCACCACCACGAGCTCCATCCATTTGCTGAATTAGTCATGCCTCCATCAAGACAGAGGGACTGAGATGCTGCTTTGCCTTCAACTCATACAAAATAGACATACATTCCAGAGGCTTAATGATCCTTTGTCAAATGCTCTAAATTCCTAAACAAGTTCAAATAATTAAACGACAACCTACTTCATTATTTATTATCAATTCTCTATCAGTCATAGCCAATAGATAAGAATTAAAAAGAGGTTTCAAGAACTAAATTGAGGGCCTAATATAACTTGAGCAATGGACTTAGTGTTTTACATGTGCAATGTCATTTAGTACAATGCTCAGCTGCAGTAGATTAATGAGTCAAGATGCTGCTGGGTGGCTGAGTCACTGTAGGGACCCAAGTTTATCTTACACCAAAACATACGTTTCATTCAAACGAAGTGACACACTTAGAAGAACTGAATACCTCTCTGATTTTTATTAGCTAACTGAATGGGGAAGAAATCTCCACAGGGCTGACAGGAACTAAAATATTCCAAGGCACTAATTTTATTAGTTTTTTTTTTTTTAATACATGATGTCACTTCCTGTCCTCCTGTACCCTGAGAAATAAGCATTACTAATCTAAGCTGAGAAGGGGAAAGTAGTAATATAGAATAGCACAGTTATGATGAAGAGCAGATTCAAACTCAGGTCTCTCTGGTTCAGGATCTTAAAACTCAGAGCATGATATTCTGCCAAAGTAGGAAAAGTTTATTTTTGAATGAACATTGATTTCAGATCCAAGGGCCAGATGACTTTTATAGGAAATATACAGCAGACTGATTCTAAAGAATACTATATTTCTTAGAAGTATTCAGTTTAATAATAAAGTTGCTTCTGCCAGGAAATGAAGTAAATAAAGGAATACACAAAGCTGGATTCTGAGTAAAGTCCCATCTCAGTTTTGGAAAAAACTAACCTGCAGTATGTTTATCCACAGTTATCATAAAAACCCACTGAAAGATACATCTTGGCACATGTGTGCATGCACGGCACACGTGCCTCACACACACAAGTTTTCATGTTAATATTTTAATTTATAGTCTATAAAAAAATATGTTGCCATGTAATGGAGTTTTTTTCATTACATGCTATGTATATAAGCTACTTCCTAAATTGTTTGACAAAACTCTAAAATGGCAAAATCAAAAAATGACGGCATTTTACTTGAGCAGGCCTACAATTTTAGTGATATTCTACTAGCACTATCTTTATAGATTATAACCAGGAGTGGACAACAGAAGCACTGAACTTGACATGCAAATATTCTTTTCCTCTTTCTTGGAAAGAGTTTGCATATATTTGTCCTCAAATTGTGGAAGAGAGGATTTGGGAAGTGTCATTACTGTAGAAGTAATACTAGAGTCAGAAGAGAGAAACTTAGAGAGTAATGAAGACAGTTAAACAGACAGAATTGCCAAATTTTCTTATCACTTTTTTTGTACACAGCCAGGTATAGAAAGTTATATTTATCATTAATGTCTTAAAATAAATACCTATGAAATTAAGAATATTTCTCAATGACTCCATTCTTCTTGTTCTTTTAAAAGTGTTATTACATAAAACCTCAAGATCAGGAGCTGGTATAAATAATATATTAATGGAATTGGAAATTATATAAATGGTAGCCATCTTGCCCTAAAAAAAGAGAAAGTAAAAATATGGCTGCTTTCCCCAAATGATGTATTTTTATTCTTTTGATTGTAATCAATTTATTGCTGTCTTTCTTATGGAGATCTCTTATTTTATTCATTTAACATTCATTTCAACCCATATTTACTGAAGCTTTGTTAAGATAGTCCTAGATAATTCGAAGACCCAGTCATCATACTTGAAGGCCTCTCAAGTCCAGAGGAGGGAGACAGAAATATAAACGGACAACACACTGCAATGTGACAAATGCTGGAACCGAAGTACAGTATATGCAAAGGGCTCCGGGATCCCACCAAGGGGCAGGCAACTGTCAGGCTCCATGTCTTCAAGGAACAATAGACTCAGTCTATCTGTCTACGTTTTGATAAAGGGTGTGGCGTCATGCAGTCATCTACAAAGGACGTAAGATCAAAAGAGGGTGAAGAGGAAGGTGGAAGGTGGCTCAAACCGTGATGAGAGCAAAATGAGCAAAGGCAGGAAGAAACGAGAACACTAACTAACAGAAATACAACTTGCTCTAGGTGACAAATATGTGTCTACAAATGCAAACACACACAGTAACGTGGGTTAGATTTTACACCTCCCTTGGGCGGTAGAATATCAAGGATTAGCAGAGGCAGAATGAAAAGACAAATGAGTGTGTGTGTTCAGACTTCCTGGAATCTATACAGGGATCCCAATCTCCCTGCACATAAGTAGCGTCATTGATGCAAGGAGAAAACAAAGGTTCCATTAGGGCTGATTATGTGACCTAGATACCCTGGTGTGGAATTTTTCTGCCCAAACTGCTGTAATTATTTATTTTAAATGAAATAGTAAGAAATAAGATCTTATATCACCTTTTATATTTTACCTATATAGTCCAGAATTATCTTCGGTAAAAGAGTCCTATAAAACATAATAAAGACCTCAAGAATAAATGCCAGCCTCTCCCCAGACTAATATCTGAAAATCAGGTAAACAGCAATGTTATTTGAGTTTTCTTTTAAAATAAAAGTTATATGTATCAGATGCACACAGGTTCTTTTTTTTTAATAATTGCCTGAAATAAGACATCATTATTTTTAAAAAGCTTCATTTTGTTAATTTACTTTTGTTCAAATTTTTCAAAAATTATTTTGAAATTTTTTTCAAAAATTTTCATAATTTTCAAAATTTCACATAAAAATCGGGGAATGAGTTTCTATAATCACATGCCACCCTCAAATATCTCAAATATGATCTTAAATAAGAAGATACTTGAATGTACTAAAATTTAACACTTTAATGAAGCCTCAGTCCAATAATTTACTTTTATCATGTATTCAAGATGACATCTGTAACTGTTGGTGTTGTCACTACAAACGGTGATAGTTTTCTTCTTGCTGTTTTCTGGCTGTGAAATCTTTAGTACCTGAAAGTATTATTAATGAACACTTCAGTAGAAATCCTGTCTCAAAATCGATATCCCATTCCTGGGAGCCTATAGTTTTCTCAAATACTAACTAAATATGATTTTGTGATTCCCATGGACACATTCAAAATACTCAGCATTTGGTACACCTTTGCCATCACCATCAGCATCACACAAAACAATCTGGAATTGCATCTACTGAGTGTAAAGACTCTTCTGTCAAATTTGTGCCTCTTCTATGATGTCTTAAATGTAGAAGATATTTCTACTCAAGGTTTTCTGAGTCAGTACTTACTACAGTGAATAAAACAGGAGTCGAAAACTGTGGAGAATAATCTTATATTTATTCCCTCGATGACTTACAGGAGAGTTTGACTATTTTTCCATAGAAAATGGAAATCATAAAATAATATAAAATATAAGCGGAATTTTTAAAATCTCATTTTAGAAGCTGGGATTACATGTTACCATATAAAATGAAGACATTTTGGAATAAAATTAGATTGAGTAGCACAATTGTATGTAACAATTAACCTCAAGCCCTGTGAATATCATTATGTGGTAGTTTAATTGAAATGGTATTAAATAATTCTTTCATAAGATTTTATATATCATGTATATCAAATATTTAATATGCTTTGCATAAATTTGAATAAATTAAGAGTCCGCAGATTTCCACATGCCTTTCCTACAATGCAGCATAGCCTAAAAGGTCTTCTTTAGATGAGGTAAGGAGTGCTGTATATATTTGATAAGAAGTACTTACAAATGCACCAGCTACAATTATGTCATCAGGAAGTACTTATCCCTACCTTTCTGACTCAGAATACCTAAACAATTAAAGAGCACAAATCTCCAATACAGGCTCTGCAGTTTTACAGATTGCAATTTTACAATATTCTTCCCCTGTTATATACACTTTTCTTAGTTCAGTTCTATTACCATGCTAACAATTTAATATAATTGTTTACTTGGATAGGGAGGTATTCCTTTCTCATTTTGCCAGCTAATTAGCCAAAAGAAATATACATTCTTCCACATGATTTATACATCTGATGTCTAAAATCGCTCTTATTCTTAGTCATTTACAAAACAAATGGCTGTCTAGTCCAACTTCTACAAATCCCAGCACAGTCTTAACCCACATCTTATGATCATGACCAGCAAAATCTTTGAAAATCGTGCTTAATGTGCAAACAACAACTTTGTTTTTGTCACTTGCTACCATTCACAAAAAAAGGTTACAAAGTGGATTCACTTTCCACTGTCATCGGCAGTCAATTGATGATAAAACTGTAACCACTGAAGAAACAAATTTTCTAAATTTTATTAAAACAACAACAAAACAAGCAAAGCAAAACTAGTTTCCGGTGTTAACTGTCTTATTAGCCAGCTTGTACCATCACATTTTCTGTGTGTGCAGCTTCTTATTCTCGGGGACACTAATTAGTTTTAAATGGTGTTAAATACCATCCCCGCAGTTGTAAGTGCTTCTCTGGGATTTTTACTGCAGAAAAGAACTCCTGTAATTTAAAACCACTTTGTTTTCTTCAGTCACAGCTGTTAGCAAAACACTGACCTGTGGAAACCTGAAAGGATTTCACCCCCTCTCATTGCCATCAGTCTGCATTTATTTCTAACACATCTTTTCCGCCTGTACCATCGCTCTGCCATAATTCCCATCCCCCTCACTGCCTTCAGCAGAGAAATCGCTTTTAGCTAGTTAAGCCCCTCTCTCTCTCTTTCCCTCCCCCCCTTACAAACCCTTGGCTACCCTTAAAGAAAATTCTCCAACAACGTGTCAATTTTATATTGGCCACAAAGACAACTTCTGTTGGGGGAGGGGGAGGAAAGAGACTGGAGCTTGGCTGTCCCTTTCCACAGACAGGGATCTTTGTGGCGATCAGAAAACATTTCCTGAATAAAAAATCAACACACTCTCTGGTTGCAGGGTTGGGGAGCCAGAACGAGTATGTATCAGCCGCGTCCTCAAACGAGTGGAACTCATCCAGTAACCTTCCAAACAGGAAAGTCATTTTCTCAAAATATGTCAGCTTTCTTGCATTATTAAACGTAATCCACAATCTCAAATCCTCTGGGAGCTCCCCCACCGGGGACTGGGTGAAAGCTATAAATCACTCCTGTACTTTCTCTTTTTCCTCCGCATTTCCGTTGCACTGTTTTTTCCCTCCAGCTCATCTATGACACGCTCCCTCTCTCCTAGCGTATCTTAACAGGGGACCAAGAAGATAAGAGCAAAAATCACGCAGGAGGGATGTCAGCCTATGCTGTAATTCCGCCTTCCTCCCCTGCCCGCGCGTGACCTCACAGCCGGGGGACCCCAGAGTGTGCGCCCCCAGTCGGGTTCTCTTGACCCACCAAAGAGCGAGCCCATGGGCTCGACTGTGCAGAGCATCTTAAACAAAATCCCGGGCCGACGGAGGAGGGGGGCACCCTGGTCTTCCCATAGAAGCCTTTGGGTCCAAACAGTCTTGCTATTGAGTTTGCTCACCTTTTAGTGTCAGCGCCTCAAGTTCAAATCTGGACAGGGGGTCGTGCATGAGAGGGTGGGACGGAGAGGGGAAAGGAGAGGGAAGCGAAGGGGACTTTTTACTGGGCTGGAGCAGAAGGAAGTCTACAACTGCATGTCACAGGTGTAATGAGTGAGAGTGTGAGTGGGGGGGTCTCCCCGGGGGAATGCAGCCTAATCAAGGCCCCCCTCCCCCTCCTCCCCAACCTCCGCTCAAACTGATTCCACCTTTGGGCATCTCTTTTCTCCTGAATATTCCACCCGCACTGCCGGGGCATGTTGCTGCGAGCTAGCCCGTCCTCACTGCCCCATCTCTAAACTCTTGAAACCTAAAACTAGCTTAAGAGACCTTTATCAGTGAAGATCACAAATCAAATGAATCCCAGGATGACAGAGTAGAGGAGCCACGAGGAGGCCCGTGTGCTGCTGGAACCGTTTTAGCCCCATCCCCATCGCCCCTGCCCCCTCCATCCCCCCTCTGCCGGGCACTTACCTTCCTTGGGTGGTCGCTTGGCCTCCTTGGTAAGATTGCAGACCTGGGTGGTCTGCAGCTCCTGGGTCAGGCAGCCCTCGGTCTGCTCATTCAGGGGTAACACCACGTTATTTAACAAAACCAGCGACTGCTCGTCGACCCCCCACTCTCCCAAATGCTGGGGGCAGGTGCATTTTGTATACATGATCCCACAGGACTCCGTTCTCCCATTTTCGGATTTTAAGCAGCTCTCCAACCAGGTGCACAGTACGTGGCAACCAAACTGGCTTGGGCTCACCTTGTTCAACACCAAAAACTCAAAAAAGGATTTCTGATCTTCTTCCCTTTTTTTCTGTAATCCTGGGAAATCGGTTGGAAATACCCGACGTATTTGAATAAAATTTTTGTCATACTGTAGAAAAACGAAAGCATTCTTGGAATTGCAAAGTTGCATTATAGAATGATTCTTTCTTAAAAGATCCTTTATTTTTTCATGGGAAAAATGATCAAACTGATAAGCCAGAAGGGAAAAGTTAGAGCAGCTAAGGTCCTTTTTGGAAAATTTCAGGTAAATGCTATATTTGGTTGGATCTGGATTTTCCAGCGTCCAAGTGCAGTTTGTGAAGTTTTTGGGAAACATTTCACTTACAGAATACGATCCATAAATGACTCCCTTCACCAAAGTTGAACACCAGAAGTCTTGGGCAGCATTAAATCCAAACATAACCAGGAGATAGGTGGAAAATATATAAATCAGCAGGTTACGAACAGCCTTCATCCTATGTCATTTGGCCTGTAAAAATGGCAATGAAAGTAAAATGCAAGTAGGAGTCTACATGCGTTGAAAAAGAAACTCCTTCCAATCTTACAGCCAGCTGTTTTTAAGATTTCAGTAAAAAACCCTTTTTAAAAGAAGGGCAGGTAAATTTTATTTTATATCGCCGGAAAATCATCTGTTGCTGTGTGAACAGCGCCCTCACGTGGTCATTCACAATGGCCAAATTCTCTACATTCAATTTAAAAATAATATTTAATAAATTATTAATAGGAACATTCTAACTTATCTACCAGGATTTAATCCAAGTATATTATGATTCTATTGAAAGAAGAGGAAAAATATGTTTTTTAAAATATCATAGCCTAAATGTTAATTTTTGAAATATTTTTAAGCAGCTATACAACCTTCTGTCTCCCTCAGTCCTCTGCCTGCAGTAAACATCATCACACAAAATCTAATCTGATAATCTGGGAACAGCTGTCACCACACTATTTCTTTTCTCTTTAATGTGAAAAGTAATTACGATAGCCACAATTTTAAAAGCACAAATGACAATTTGTTGCAGATGAAACATCATCTCCCAAATGCCCCTACTTGTGTTTGCAGGGGCCACCATGGGAAATGATGGGAAATGCTGTGCAAAAACACCGGCATTCATGTGGGTGAATGGAATTTTAAAACCATCATCTGAGAAGGGGCCTGGGTGGGAAGACACATGTGGAAGACTTCTTGTTGGACATCACCACTGAGAACCAGGATTTAAGGCCGTCATTTCAACGTGACATGCCCTCTTGGGATACATAAAGTGGATCACTGTATTAGTATCTGTATCCAAAGGCAATGTCAGTGAAAAATCCCAGAACCACGGTAATTGAGCTGGCTTCAGTCTTTTAATTGTTTATTTTTTTTTTAATTAGGGCTATTTTATCTAGAGTTGCCTACTGTAATTTATGATTTAGACACGGTAGATAAAAGATATTAGATTTTCTTTCCTAGCAGATTTCAGATACTGAACTGCTCCCTTTCCAACAACAGCTCCAAAGCTCCTCTTCTCTTCTTTATTTTTTCTAACCTGGGCTTGCATAATAAAGTAAGCCTTGGTTATATTTACCTCTGTAAGTTGTTATCCAAAAATAACTTGAATTTTTTTCAGCTTTAACCTTTAAGAAGTTATTTCTTAGAATAAATGACACTGCTTTTTTGTTTAGCCTTTGAGCTGAGAAAAGTGACGCCAAGTTAATTTTAAAAGTCTTTAGGCTGCAGTCTCTTCCACTGTTCTGTAAACAGAGACAGACATACAGACATATAGATAGTTAAGAGTTTTCACGTCTTTGCCTGGGTCCTCTCTGAACCAAAGGATAAAACCCTCTTCCTTCCCATTGCATAACACACACCAACGCATGCACACAGAATCCAGTGACCGAAGTCACTGTAGATCTGCATTCTCCAGATCATAATTCAAATTCTCTGTCTTGATATAAGCAAAAGCAGCTCCAACTCTAAATTTCTATATAGCGGCTGTTTAAAATAACATCAGAATTGCTGGGACTAACAAAACAGCATCCTCTGTTTCAAGCATACAGCTCAATGAATAACGCATTTTCTTCTTGAGAAAATAAAGCCAGCGAGCATTTAAAGGTTAAAAAATAGGGAAAGTTGTAGGAAATTCTGGAAATAATTTCCTCTTTTTTTGCTGTAGCACTTTGCAGGCAATGCAGTCTGCGCAGTGTTCTTCAGGATGGAGTGTAGGCGTTGAGAGCCAATGTGACAATAAGTGTCTAAATTAGGAATTCCATCCATGAAAGGGGGCTTCATTTTATAATCGGTAACTCAAAAAGAGGTCGTATTTCTTTTCCTAACAAAATCCAGTACTTTTACTTCCATTTATTTGACAGTGCATGTCTGCATTGCTGTGCTCATCAAGGATCAGAAAGAGCTCTGATTTCACTTTCAAGGCTGCTCAAGAGAGCCCCCTCAATATAATGCTCTTTATTTTCATCACTAAGCCTTGGTGTATGGAGTCTTGTTTTCTTCTAAATAATCAAAAATGAATCATTGAACTCCCCCCCCCCGCCCCCGACTGCAAGGCCAGTTTAAACAATTGTATTTCCCTCTTTAAGAAAGTAAGAGTGGGGTGGGGGTGTCTAAGGGCTGGCCACGGAGGTCTCAAGGATGTTGTCTTTATTTATTTCTTTATTTATGTGTCCCCTGCTGAGAAGCAAACCGGCGTTTAGTTTAGCTATTCTCAAACTGATTTTCTGGGTGACACTTTAGTTTAGTCGAACATAGACGGCGCCATCACTCCACTGAATTTTTTCCCCAATAGAAGATCCACTGCCTCCCCTTATCTTAACTTCCTTTTAACCTAAAATTTCCCCCCATAAAATTACCCCGGTCACGCCGACCGTCAGATTTTCTAGGTCTCCGTGCCTGTTCCTTCCGACTCGGCGCATCTCCCGAAACCAGACTTCTCTAACTTTTCAACTGCGGCGTTTAAGTGAATGCAGACAGTCGGGTTTGCTCGCAGCCCCTCCAGCTGCCAGCAACAACCCTGCCTTTCCTCGTCCTCCCTCCGCAAACACCTAGCCGCAAGCTCCTCGGTGGCGACCCCCGGCAGAGGAAGGTGACCCCTGGACCCCCTCCTTACCTTCCACTCCGAAAGCTCAGGGAGGCTCTTGTCTAAGACACCAGCACAGGCACGCGTCCCAGCAACAGTGACGGAGAGACTCGCCTTCGGTCCCAATCACCGTTGCCCATTTTCCCCGGCTCGGCTTCAAATATCAGGATTTATTTTTTTAAATGCACACATAAGAGAAGAAAAGATGGGGGGCAAAAATCAAAGAGGGGAGGGGTGGGAGGAAAAAAGCCCCCAGGACCCCGGAGCCTGACAGCGTATCCAACTGAATCCAACCTCCAACGCGGGGGTCGGGGGGGAAGCCCCCCGAGGAGAGACTCTAAGGAAACAAAAAAATGCAAGCGGTTTAGGAGCGAGGATGTGTTTTACCAGATCTACCCCCAACAAACCGAGTAGCCAAGAAGCAAAGAGAGCGCCGAGACGAGAAGTGCGCGGCGGCGCGGCGGCCAGGGCAGCCGTGGCGGGGCGGCGGGCTTATTGCGGGAGAACCGCGGTCGGATCGGGGGCTCGGCTAGGCTTGTTCCTCTTTCCGCTCTCCTCCCTCCTGCTCCTCCCCCCGCAGGTGCTGATGGACGGCCGGCGGCTGAGCAGAGGGAGGAATCCTCGGGAGCTGAGGTCGGAAAGCGGTGTGATGCCCAGCGCGGAGGGAGGCGCGAGAGGGAGCGAGATAGTAAAGCTCTGTCTCGGGTGTGCGCGGGGCGCGCGGCGCTCGCTCTCCCGGGCGCGCCGGCCTCCCGCGTGCTCGCAGGCGCG